GTTAACAAGGAAACTAAAAGAGGGTCAGGGACTAAAAACAACAAAGTGCCAGACGCAGTGAAACACGAGTAAACAAGTAAAAAAACTCTTGTGAAAGTAGATTATTTTTTTAAATCAACAACTCCTGATTATCACTATTATATCTGATAGGCTAAAGCTAAATAAGAGGCTTTAAAGAAAGCAAATCCTGCAAGAGGAGATGTTTTTTTCTTTTTTTTAAACTTCATATGAAAATAAATCGTCTCTTCTTATCAAAATCCTTTTCTTCTGTCCAGTATGTGCTGCTTCCTGGAGTGAACAGGAACTTGTCAGGCCTTAAAACTGGCTTTTTGGGCAGATTACAGATGGAACGGCTACTGGGTGTTTGACACCAAACGATAACACTGCAGTGGCTGTGCCTCAGCGAGATGTGACTGTGAGTGACATTTAATAAGATCCGGACAGCGGCAGACATAAATCACCCGTCTGACAACGCCGCGTTCCTGCAGCCGTCGGATTCTTCAAGGCTGCCAGGGGCAACGAACACAGACATCCATCCCTGATTCCTCCGTGTGTCTCATCCACACCGAGCATTTTAAAGAGAAGCGAAAATAACGTGAGATTTAGTCATTTCAGCATGTCTGCTATTTAACTTCACTCACATGCATCCATGGACCTTTTTATTTATGTACAAGCACAACATTACAAACATTTGATGCATGCACCTGTGCTTCTGCTCGCCCTGGATGTTGGTACTAAATGCTTTGGTTTGGACGGTTCCTGGAGACTTAGCTTCATATTTTATATTCTCTAAGTTCATCTCCAAACCCAGAAGTGAATTTTATGATCATTTACACAAGTTCCTCTTTAAGCAGACATTCCTGAAGTATATCATGAAGAGTAGAGTTGGGGTGTGGTAGATCTTTAGGTGAAAACGACAAACTCGGTGGTGGATGCTGGTGCAATACTGCCCCCTTCTGGAAGCAAACAGCTATCACAATAGAAAGCGTCTCCACAAAATGAGAGGCGTCTCACTTCAAATGTTTAAATTTAGGTTATGCCCCTATAATTTTAGCTATCAAGAGAACAGTTTGTGCCAATAATTATTGAGAAGCATATAAATAATTTTCAATATTTAATTTTGTCACATTTGAAAGAAAAACTGAGAATCATTTAACTTTTGCAAAATGATATCCTGTCTATCTTTTTGGAGATAAATAATTTTCGATTAAAAAACAAAAAAAAGAAATAAAAATACTCTATTTCTGTTTCCCTATTTGGTGACACTTAGATAACATTTTAATTAGGGTATGTAATTCCTGGAAAATAATCCATCAGACGTTTACATGTCCTATAAAATCTCCACATTTTGGAACTTTATGACCTAAATACTGAGTTTATTTTCATGTTAAAAATTACTATGCAATGGAAACTCTATTACACATTTTTCCTAGCTTGCTCTACTGATGTGTGTCATTTTTTAACCAACAATGTGCTTCTAATCCTGAATAAATATGCTCTGTAATCTGATGGGAAAACATCCTGTATGGTTTAGCACATCTTTTGGGTTCATCTGAAAATTATTCTGTTTTCCCTCGAAGATCAATATGCAGTACTTAGAAAAAGTTTAATTCAATACAAATTTATAGAATAAATATTTCAAATAATAAACAGAGTCTTCACTGATTCATTTCACTCTATGTATTTTTATTTTCCACTGCAAGGATAAAGTGTTTATTGCAGCAGCGCCATAAAAATCCGCTAAATTCACCAAAGATTAGAAACTTTCCATTTGCATTAAAATGTTTTACATCTTTTCAGAACACAAAAAGCTGATTAAGACCATCAATAAATAAAAATCCCTAACAGGGCTTCTATTGGTAGCAGCTTTTATCCTCGTTACTCTCACAGCTGGAATAAAATCAGACCAAACAGCAACGACAGGCTGCAGCCGTAAAAAAGCAACATCAGCAACCAAACTGGCAAACTCGCAGCAAATCCACTGAAAACTAAAAAAATTGTTTAATCCCAAAGGGCAATGAAAGAAAAGTGTTATTACTGCAGCTTCTCCGATGATAATTAGCTACGTTTATGCGTCATGACAAAACAACAAAGAGTGAAAAATGTTCTGTCCAAACTGCACAAGAATAAGCAGTTGTCCAAAAAAAATAAAACATAAAAAAGTCTATTTCTCCCCAGAAAGACAGGAATGAAGTTTTGAAAACTAAACAAATAAATAAAAATCTCATTGAAATCCAAACAGTTTCCTCCTAAAGTGACTCAGAGTTGCCTCGGTGTTGGTGATGGGGCAGTTAAAGTTAAAGCCAAGGTTTTTAGCTTCCCCAATTATATGGTGTGCAAAATAGCTGAGAAAATACTGATAATTGTGAATGAACATCCAACAGTCTCATTCGCTAGAAAGAGGCCTCAGTAAGTTTGTCGTCTTTTGTCTTCTCCTCCATCATCCAGCCTCAGACTTTCTCATCATTTACTGCCATCCAGTGTTTTTTCTCACATACAGATACTCTCACCAACGCAGACGTTAGTAAGTGAAGTGGGTCAGAGGGCGGTGGAGATGAATGGAGGTCTGAATAGACGGACGGAGAGATGAATGGATGGAGGGATGAATGAATCAGTGGGTGGATGGATGGACGAAGGGGAAGAAGATGTAAAGAGGTCAAAGAGGCTCAGACTGGCTGCAGTCCAACTCCAGCCAAAAGCAACATCTCTTCTAGTCCTTCGAGTGGAACAAGAACGAACACGATGACAGGCGATTTCTGACGCTAAATCTCCTAAACATCCAAAAATCACACAGAGCGACGGACGTTTAGCTTCTGTTGGTGGATTGTGAAGGAAAGATCGATTCTTTTCCTTCTAAAATTTTGTAGTTTAATGTAATCTTCAATGCTTAATAAAGCCTTAAGAAACATATTTCATAGTTTACAGAAAGAACTGGAGGTAGTTAGTTTGTTTAGCTCCGTCCATTCGTTTTCCAGACCCATTTGGTAGTGAAGTACTGGTACCAATACTTGGGCAAGAACTCATGCAAACAGGTTTTGAACCTCATGCTCAATGTTGGCAATGATAACAACTGTCATCTTGCACTTCAGCATGTTTAGAGTCTCAGAATTTATTTAAGATTTTATTATTAAATTCCACCATGAGGCAAACTGACATAAAAAACAGGCACACTGTGCCATTTTATAGCATAATTAAGTAACCATGTTACCTTCAGTTGTTATAAAGTTACAAGATATATCAAATATACAAAAAGAGAAATTTGACTTTGTTTGAAATTGGGCCTCTGTCTCTTTAAAAACTCCTGGTAGACAGGACAACATGGCTCCTGCATTAACGCTTTAGAAACATTTTTACCAGCGTTTCACTGGGAAGTAGCTCCAATAACGAGCTCAGCAGCTGTTTGCTAAATGTGGCTGGCTAGTCTGAAGGAGCTGAATGGGGAGCTACATCCACTCAGGAGTTTTGCACAGCTGACTGGTTGCCATGGGAGATTAAAGGATTTCTCAACCATGCATGAAAGAATCAAAGCAAAACTTCATTACATTATTGATGAGAGAAAAACATTGTAACATGATGTAAAGCTCAAAAAATGTCCTTTTATATCACCCTGTCCCTTTAAAGAACAGGAATATGTGTGTGTGTGTGTGTGTGTGTGTGTGTGTGGGGGGGGGGGTGTGTGTGTGTGTGTGTGTGTGTGTGTGTGTGTGTGTGTGTGTGTGTGTGTGTGTGTGTGTGCGTGTGTGTGTGTGCGCATGTGTGTAGGCGTGTTTGTGTGTGTGTGTGTTATTCCAAGAAGTTGCCAAGGTGGGGAATGGTGAGGGGTAAAAGGGTTGTTAAGGTTAGAGAGTTCATTTTCAGAGTCTTTCTCATGGTGATTACATTGGCAGCTTAAACTGGTAACAGGACAAATGGTCATACACACTCACACACCCACACACACACACACACACCAAATACAGCTCAGAACACACTGTCCTGCTCATTTGCCAGAATGCGATATTGTCATACATGCAAAATGGACGATAACATTCCTCTATAACATTCAACTCAAATGCTTGTTGAACTCAGACTCAATAAACTGTTGAATATTAAATATTGGTAAATTTCCTTCTATCCCACAAAACTAAGGATTAGGATGAAGGCAAGGATGAAAGACTTGGAGTTCAACACTAAAGGTAAATCATCAAAATACCAGAGGAAACATGCTAATAGATAAAAGCTAGCCAGCAGTTAAACAACGGTTTGATTGTCTCTACCTCTGACTATTAAGAAGGGTCTGCATAATTTTTGACATGCCATTTTTTAATTAAAATGTAACTTTTCATTTTGTATCGAGATCCAAAGTCTTTTTAAAATGTAAGATTTAATTTGGGCTTAATTATAGGCATAAAAAAAACATTGTTTGCTAGAATTTCATCTATTTTCTTCTTCCAAATGTGCCTAAATTTTAATAAATGTTGCTTTTGCTCTATTAAAAGCAGAGCAAATTGACAAAAAAAGAAATGATCAAATTAAAAAAACTTATCTAAAACAAATGAACAGCAACTGAAAGTCATAACTTCAGAAAAACATAAAATTATTATTGTTCTTTATTTGCTACATAGCAGGTTTGAAATCAACAACCTGTGAGGAGTCATCTTTTTTGCGCAAAAATGCCATTTTATGGATGTTTTTTACAGAAATGTCATCATTTAGATTCTAAGAATAAGTGAATTTTCCACAAATATGTTGGAATTACCTAACAGAAAAATCTGTAAAATGGTAAATACGTAAATAATAAATTTTGAACATGCAGGAGTCTAATATATGCATGCACCAGGTGGAAACTTACTTTGCAAAAAGAATCAATGTCTTGGATTAGCCAAGCAAAAATCTGAAAAGTTTGCCAAATCTGTGCTTACCTTACAATTATTTAAGGTAAATATGAGAGATGTAGGAGAACGCAGTCATAAACATAGTGAGAGATGCTTAAAACAAAAGACACAGTTCAACCGACGTACCTTTCTACAACATCTTCACCGCTCCAGCATGTGTGCTGCTCAACCTCCATTTCACTTTCACAAAGCATTTCTGGCAGCTCAGACAGAAACCACTGGTACCGCTGGATGGAGATCTCAAATTCCCTAAAACAAATGACAAGATTTTGGTACGAAGCTGAGCGACTGAAATGTAGGCGATGATGATCAGTTTGACAAATCTGATCCAGTTTATCTAACAGACTTGATTGAAAATATTTAAGCAAAGAAAGGATTTAAAACAAAAACAGCTAAAATAGCTAGCTAAAAACCCTTTTAAAAAGTTAAAACATTTGAACACTTATCTAAACATAAACATGTTACCTTGATAGTTTTTTCAGGCTTCGACTTTTGTCTCCTTTAGCACCTTTAAGGGGGAATGACCTGCAGCGAAGAGAGGAACAATTCAGAACAAAAGATTTCAGACTTTTCCTCATTTTAACCATCAATAAAGAACTGCGTCAGATTTTCAGGGTCTTGAAAGACGATTAATTTCCCTTAAGCATTTTCCCAAGTTACTCCCCTGAAATTCATTGTGTTATATTGGAATCATATGCTAAATAATCCATCACATAAAAACATAATGATGCTGGCCAGAGAATGCAACACAAAGATGATGGGTGATTTTTTGTTTTTTTTGTTTTTGCTTTTTCAGAAATTAAAACCTGAAAAATATGACTTACATTTTCATTCTGCCCTGTTTTGCTTCTATTCTCCTAACTAAGCTACACAGTGTAACCAATATTCTTCACCAACTGTGACTTTAATTTTAATTTTGGCAAAATTAGAAATTATCCATGAAGGTATTAGAGATTTATTAGAGAACACAAGTAAACAAACAGCATCATAAATACCAGACAGGAACACACAATATGTGAATGTATGCCACACTTTAAGGATTTTTATTAGCAGAAATATCACATATTATTACATACAATCTCAAGAGAATTCATTAAAATTTGTGGAAGTAGTCTAAAGAGGTTTAAATGTGTGTTTAATACTTTTCAGAGGTTTCTGGACGTAGCTTACTTCTGGGGATGCAAATGGCGATGAGGTGAAGCAGGCAGAGTTACCGCCGACTTCCTGGAGGCGAGTACTGTTGCCCGGGTTGCAGGGTGTATTTGGGACGGCGACTTCGTATCCATAAGCATGAAACCAGGTTCCTGGGGCCCACAAACCTTCTCCACCTGCAGAGGAGGAGACGGTTTGCATGAGGAGAGCTGCTCTGTTTTCAAAAACAATACGTTTCCAAAAATCTTTTCAGGTTTTAAAAAAAATGTAAACCCCATAAAGAAAGTGGGTTACAACTGATCATGTGACTTGTGTGACACTAAAAAGTGTTTCCTTTGCAGTTTTGCGAAATAAACCAATTTAAAAACTCTCCTAAGTCGCTGTGTTTCCATGAAGCAAATGTATTTTCATTATTTCAATTTGCAAGCAGCTATTATACTATTATGATTTTTAAAATGTTTCTTTCTGACAGAGTTGCTTGATGTTCAGTTAAATTACATCATTGTCGCATTAAAGGTGACAAAGTTTTGAATTTATTTACCACAGTGTTGCTATATTGTCCCGAATGCGTACTAGTAACGGGAATTTCGTCTCTTTTCAGAGAGCCGGCTTTTGTGGCTCAGCTCCCAAATAAGAGCTGGCTCTTTTGGCTCTTAATTTACTTTCATCTGCAGCCCCACTTCTTAGCATAACTTGGCAAATAGGAATGTTTTGCATGATAAATCCTTTTACATGCAATGCCCTATGATTAATTTAATTTCTTCTATTATGAAAGCAATCATTCTTACTTTTCGTATAATATTTTGTGGAACAAAAACAAATGAACAAAGCACTTCTGTCATACACATTGTAATGCACATAGTGCAAACACTTTCTCCTGAAATGACAGCAGATAATCTATGGCGCAATTAGCCTGTGTATGTTTGTTTACCTCTCAGGAATCTACTCTACTGAGTCTTCTATAGTTGGATGGTGACTCTATCTTTTCCTCCAACAGTGTGTGTGCGCGTGTGTGTGTGTGTGTGTGTGTGTGTGTGTGTGTGTGTGTGTGTGTGTGTGTGTGTGTGTGTGTGTGTGTGTGTGTGTGTGTGTGTGTGTGTGTGTGTGTGTGTGCGCGTGCGTGTGTGTGTGTGCATGCAACTCTCCTGCCTCTGTTTGTGTGCCGTCTGTTTGTCCACAGATTAGCCACAGAAACTTTCTCATCACTCAGAACCAAGCAGCATTCTGGGTATCGGTTGTCCCGCCAACGACGGTCTTTGTCTGGCGCTAGATCTGTATTCACACTCACACGTTTCTGCGAACACACGCAGACTGAGGGGAACCCCAGAATCCCTGAAGAATGAGGCTGTTTTTAGCCCTTCTAGGTACAAGCAGATCCAACTGCCAGGCTGAAAGAAACCCATCGCTGTTGAATGTCCAACATTCAAATGGCTCTATTATTCAGTGAATTTAAGCTGGAGTTACCTCAAATGTAAAATATCATATTTACAGGAGAATGGTGACATGTCCAAATAATTTTCGGTGGAAAAAAAATCCCAACTTTTTTATTTTTATTTCAACCTTTTATTGCAGAAAGAAACTCAAACTCAATTTTATTCTTACTGTCGCTGTGATTCGTGGACCGTGCAGTTGTGCGTGTAGTATTGCATCATTCACGTGGTTTCGTACTGCCAGCAGAGCCAGCTCCATGCTGTTGTGGTTGCTGCTGGTTGCTAAAGTAGCAGCTAACCTTTGGAGCAATACCACCGAGCGTCCCCAGGGGGCACCAAGCTCAGAAACACCCACCTGCATTCAGGGAAGCAAAAAAATTAAATAAAATAAACCTATTAGTTATAAACAAAATTATTAACAACAAGGCATTTAAAAGTGCTTTACATCATAAAAACACAAAAATACAAAGTCATAGAACATACAGCCAACAACACTAAATTTGTCACATCAGATTATTGATTAATGTTTCACGATTAGGTTTCAAAAGTGACTCTAAACAGCTGGGTTTTTAGTCTAGATTTAAAGGAAGTCCCTGTTTCAGCTGTTTTGCAGTTTTCTGCAAGTTAGTTCCAGGTTTGTGGTGCATAGAAGCTGAATGCTGCTTCTATTATGATCAATAGATAACACGTTTGATAGAATGTTCAACAATCAATTCATAGAACATACACAGAACTCCAAGCCGGAACTGCACAGCATTCTGGGTAATGTAGGCAGAGGAAATGCTTCAGCCTCCACTAACTCGCTCCTTGGTTACCTAGCAACAACCTGTTGAGTAACTTGCGCAGCAGCAGTTTGAGATTTTGCCTTTGTGCCTCATAACTGCTTAAAAATGAAGTGAAAACTGCAGATAAAAGAGGAGACGTCACACTACCAGTTTGACAGTAATTAAGATATTGAAAACAAAAAAAAAATTACCGATTTCTACTGAAATGAAACTATCACTAAGAAGCATCCACAAAAGCATTCAGAGACTTACCAGACAACCTTTCATGACATTGTGACACAGTGCAGTGCAGGGCCGTATCAGGGTCAGACCTCTGCAGTGTGAACAGTACTGCATCTTTACTAATCCCCGTCCACACTCCCTGGATAAGGTCACTTTCTCTGTTGAATTCACAACTTCTCCTGCCAGCCTCAGCAGCCGGCTCAGTGCCCGACCGGGTCCGAGAGCGCGAGACAGGCTGCTGACGAGCAGCCGAGGATAAGGTCCGAACGGGCTGACATCCTGCTGCGTCATCCGCAGGCAGTCATCGTGTTTGGATGAGAAGGATAAATGGGATATTGCTGATGGACGGCCAATCCCGGGGTTGAGGACACGCCGGTACACCAGCGCAAAGAGATCGTTGTAAAACCGGCGCACTGCGTTGTTCAGGGAGGAGTTAGCGTCTCCTGAAAGGTGGCGGCTGATGTCAGAAAACAGCTGGAACACAGGAAGCCGGCAGTCTGACGCGAGAGCGGAGTAGGCGCTGTCAAACAGACTGCATGTCAGGTTCGATGTGAAGGACACGAGTGACTCAAAGGTTTCTGGGAGACAGAAAAAAAAAGATCAGGCACAATGAACCTTGGCCACAAAAATAAAAAAACAATCAATAATTGATCTGAAACTCACTCGATTCAGGTTAATCTAAATTACTTCACTTTCATTCCAAATTCCTCAATTCAAATCTGGGTTTTAAACATACATGTTTATCTGCATATTGTTACACAACATCCTTAATTTCACTCTTCATAAGAAATTGGCAATATACAAATCTCGTTGGTAACACGGTTCCTAACAAATATAAATACAGAAAAAAATACAAACATGACTCATGGACACAGACCCTTTGGAAAATGGACCGGACTCTTTGAGTCATACCCTCATTTAATTACGTAAAGAGCATCATTAAGATTAAAGAGAAGTTGTGCATAGATGTAAAACACTTCCATTCACAGCCACCCTGAACAGCAGCTGGATAAAAAAAAAAAAGAACACATTTTTGAACCGCAATTTTCCAAAAACACGATCCTGTCCTAAGTGACCTTGGACTGACTTCATTCTCTTGCATGTGAGCAAGAATAGCCCAAACTTAATTCATCCTTGAGCTCGTTTTCACTGCCCTGTTATCTTTAGTCAGGTGATAATGAGAGGCCCCGTCTCATGATTCACCATGTTTCCTATGTCAATAAAAAGATCTTTCCAAAGGCTGTGTGACCACGATGACAGACAATGCGCGTATTTGAGAGATGATTTCAGTCTGAAGACATCCTAACACTAAAAGAGATTAAACTCACCAAGTTATCCTCTCTCTCTCTCTGTGTGTATGTTTATGGCTCTGTGTTTCAGAATCACAGCTGGCATTGCATGAATGTCTAAGGGACTCGTTAGGACATTCACAGGATAAGTACAAACTCGGTTAATAATTACTGAATGCAATAGCAATGCTTCTTCAGACGGCTGGCTGTTGAAGAGTGCGCTTTGGGCCAGCAGTGGCGGTTCTCTTTAAAGTAAAGCACACTAAGCGAGAGCGACCAGCTTTTATGTTTTCGCATACCCACGCCCGGGCGATGGCAGCCCAAATACATACGGCATCAAATTACATTGCAAAGTCTTCCCCATGGGGACATGTGATTAGCGTTTTACCCTCTCTGATTGGACGACAGCTGGGCACAAGGGTCTTAGAGTGCCAGGAGAAAAACACGCAAGCATGCAGGCATATTTGCACACACGCACACCAAAGAGACCCACAAGAAATAAAGAAAGCCACTACAAGTGGTGCATGTCTCAGTTCCTCCAGTGGGTTATAATCACTTCTCTCATGGGAGGAGATCTGCTGAGACTCAAGTCAGCTGTTGAGGAATGTGCTAATTTAGTTTATTTCATAAAAATAGAGGCCAAATGTAAGACAAAATATATGATTGTTTCGATTTAATTCATTTTTATGTTGTAAAAATATGAGTGACTAGCTAAACTAATCACACTCAATAAACGTTTTCATATTTTCTTCACATCTACATCTTTTCAAGTATTTTATTTAGTTTTTATGCCATTTCCACCATTGGAACAAAATAGATAAATTGTGTTTAAGTTGTGGTAAAAAGAAAAGTCTGTGACACGTCAGATAATCTCAAAAATTAAATAAAATAATGCACTAAATGTTCAGCAGGTATGGCAACGTAAAGCATTTGCTTCAAAAGTTTCTAAAATTTACAGGATTTGTCCTTTTTTATTCTGACAAACCTTCTGTAGCCATCAAAAAACTAAATAAATGACTAAAAGTTTCAAACATTGTCTCCAAATTCCAAACTTTCTGTCTTCAGTGCTGCCTGCTTTGGTCTTGTTTTGCTCCTCTTTGTGTTTGGGTGTTCGCATTAATTATACCCATGGATGGTTAAGCCATCCTTTGGGCGTAAATAGCGGCTGGAACTGAGCCTGAGTGTATTCAAATGGAGCCTGGGAGGAGGTGGGATGTGATGCAGGATGGCAAAAAAACAAACAAAACAAAGCCTGTTTGTCATGTATGCCATCAATAAAACCCGATCTAATAATCTCCACACAGCTTGACAAAATCACATGAAGTCTCACAAGCTCTTCTTCTTGCTTTTTCACACACATAAACGCGCTTGCTCACACACGGTGGTGAATGGCGTTGAGAGACAAGCGGACAAGCAGAGTATTCTTCCTCCTATTCAGAGCAGCCCGTTAGAGACCGGCTGTTGCCCACAGCAACAACGCTTTGCTGCGGATACGTACTGAATGTAAACATTCTTCGTCCCTCGCTATCTCATTGGTCGAGGACAAAACCCGATTATCAGAGACGGACGGAGGAAGAGAGCTGGGTGTTGCGACGAAGTTTTCCGCTGCTCCCTCTGAGAGTTCGCTGCCTCAAAGACTCAGCCGAACATCGGTTGTTTGTTTGGCTGGCCACCGAGGCGCCTCGCTAAATAAACTGACACAAAATGGCTGTTTCATGATGAACACACAACGTGAGGATGACAGGCCTGGGCTCTGACAGAACGCTTCGGCTCTTGGAACTGTGACTGCTATTGTGACCACTTTGGTTTCAGGGTCATGAAGCAGAAATTATATCAGTTTAATTAATTAACTGAATGAATGGATTTGTATTTTTCTTTCTTGGGCCTTTTTTTTATTAATTATTTCAGGAGAAGAAGAACGAGATGTGTGTCTCCTTAAGGCTATCACTGCTTTGCAACTGTTATATGTTTAGTTTTTTTTTTATTATTATTCATTTACAAATTTTAAATTTTTACAGTGTGTTACGCTGGAAGAAGAAAATTTGGAGATCAATAAAGTATTCTCTTTATCTATCTATCTATCTATCTATCTATCTATCTATCTATCTATCTATCTATCTATCTATCTATCTATCTATCTATCTATCTATCTATCTATCTATCTATCTATGTTTTATGCTTTTTATTACTTTTTCCAATCAAACGTGATCAATAAAATTGATTGTGTTTTTTTATTACTTTTTCTTTTTCCCAAGAATTAATAATAAAAAAAACTGTAATATTAAACTGAAATCTGTTTTCTACTAAATAATGACTAATACACTGTAAAAACATAAAATCTTGAAATAACACAAAATTAACTTACAAGTCACTTTTCAGCTAAATATAGGAGCTGACTTGTTTTGAGTCAATATTTTTCTAATGTTGATTTAAAAAAGTAAAGTTTGCCAGTGGAACAAGACATTTTTCCACTGTTTTCACTTGAAAACGTGAAAACTTTGAATACTTTTCTGAGGCATTAAGACACAAATACTTATTTACCATCCACACCACTTCCCTGCTCTTTCACCCTCCTACCTTGGAAGGCCTTTCCATGTCCATCAATCAGGTATTTGAGTTCGAAGCTGTAGGATCGCATCTTGTGCTGCATCTCGCTACGAACAGCTGCCATGTAGCTGTCCTCCATTTTACTTGTACAGCAGCTGGGCCCAGCATGCACACACACTCTCAGCGGCTCCCCTAAAAGGATAAATAACGGATAACAAAGGTATTCAATCCAGCACCAAGTCCTAAAGTAAAATAAAATAGAGCAACACTGTAGCACTTTGACCACCACATTAGTTATAAGGCTAATTCTTATTGATTTGTCAGTCACTTCAGTGCTTCACCAAAGTAATTGCATAGTGATCCCTTTGGGAGCCGACAGGATGACAAGAGTAGTGGTAAACTTTTCACACTCATGCCAGTCCCTGCGGTGTGCATGGACTGTTGCGTCTTTGTGCATGTGTCCCCATTCAGCAGCCTGACATTTATATATGGCTGCAAACCAAGCTGTCAGGCAGCTGACTGAGATCAGGGGGGAAAGAGACATCAGAGGAGCAGACGGCTGCACTGTAAAACATTCCAGATGCATTTAGCTGTGTCTACCTTCTATTCTTAACGTCAACTTAGATTTTGAATCTAAATGTGTGAGTTTGTAAAAGATAAACGTACAGTAGTAAGTTGTATAAACCTTTTATTAATTTTGTCAATTGAGTTGGAAAAAACAGGAGTGGGAACTATTTCCCAGAATGCTTAGCGGTGTGTTTTTGTATCATGAGATGGAAGTGCGTTACATTGATCTGATTCTTGTGTTTTATTGAGGAAAATGTCCTTTTAATGCAAAGCTTGAGGATAATGTCCTGTTAACACTAAATGTTTGTGAGATGAATTCATTGTGATGTTTAATCAAATTTAATAAAATCATCATGCAGACAGCAGACCTGCCAAACCTTAAGCTATTCTTATTACTCACAATCGACTGAATTATTTGGGGGGGTTGCTACTTATTGGTTACAGTACGTTGCATTACCAGCTTGCAATTTGAAGAATGTGATATAACGGACATCATGTCACACACTTACGCTTGGCATCAACATCTTTAAAACCTTCCAACACAACTTCCTTTAGTAACAATGACAAAGACTAATAAGAGCTTTTAAAGCTGCAGTATGTGACTTTTATAGAAAGTATCTTTCTATACATTTTTTAAAACTGTGATTTTGTCCTGACTGTGTAATGAGACATGAAATCTGTGAAAATATTTCTCCTCAATATTTATTTCTTTGTAATTAGATTGGGGGGCAACATGTCTTTGAGACAATACACAGGGCAAACCTGCCCACCTCCACCGGCGACTCGCCTGTCAGACACTCAGAAAAGCAAATTAACCCATGAGCGTCCACTGTGTGAAACAGATTCTTTTTCATCTGAAAAACTTGCAGAAGGGCGCCCCCCACAAGATGCTGCCCTGGGCAGTTGCCCATGTCGCCCATATCAACCATTAATTAAAAGAGTTACATACTGCAGCTATAATATGAAACAACCATCTCTGTTTAAAATGTATTTCTCACTGGATGACTGACAAGTACAATGCACTTAACTGGCAAAGATATGTAATTCCAGCAGTGTTCTTTAAATAAAATTAAAAAAAAGAGCAGAAAATGGTACAAACGGGTTAAATAGGAGACTTAGCCGTTCAAAATGCACTTTTGAACCATTGAGCTGTCACTTCCATCTGCTGTGTGAGATCTAAATGAGTCCAACTGTCACATAAACACAATCGTTCTTCGAAAACCAGGAGGCTGCAAATAATCCACTTGTAGCCCACAAAAAGATGGCTGACTTTTATGTCATAGTTTTACTTTATGACACAGAGTTTGACTTATCCAGCCAGCTCCAATAAGTCATTGGTGTCGCTTTTCAAACAGCACAAAAATGTACCAATCTGGTCAAAACGCTTGTTCTTTCTGCTACGGTCACATTAAATCAGGTTTCTTCTGCCAAACATGCAAACTTTTCCCCTCTAGAGCTCTTCTCAGTGCATCTAAAATGAAAAGTTTGACTCAGAAAGAGAAATTTATTTGCTCTTTCATACATAGCTTTGTTAAATGACATCTATTAAGTTCAGATTAATAATAAAAAATATGTTTTAAATAATAACAGCAGACTCTTAAGCAGTGTTAGCATACTTTTAGCAAAGGTTAATACCTTGATGATGCTGTGTTTGCACTTTGGAATAAGAGAAAGAAGCAAGCAGAAAAATATCCATATAACATTTAACATATAAAGTACATTATCTTTTAATTTGGACAACAAAAAAGTATGCTACCAAGAAGCAATGTAGTAGAGTTTCTGTTTTTATACAACTAGGATGATCCGAGGTGATAGATGGCAAATCCTGAAACAAATCCTGAACTTTTCGAGGATAAAAATAAAAACGAAGAGGATTTTTGAGTAAAGTCGCTGCTGAATGAAATGGCGAGATCTGTGTCATTCACTCTGAGCACCAAACGAAAAAAACATGAATGTCTGTGTAACACAAAATATAGTTTGTGGAGTCTAAAAAAAGCTCCAGCCATCATTTACATTTAAATCTGAATAATGATGCTCCAGATACATTCTTAATAGTATTTTTACATTAGGAATTTGCCTATTGTTTAAATTTTAAATAGTTTTGAGGACATTTTTAAATTAGATAACAAATAATGTAATAAAAATGGAAGTAAGTTGTTTTCTATCACTAAACATTTCTGTGAAACATGAAAAGGTTTTAGATAAAAGAAACAAAAAGGTAAAGATTTTATGCCACCACTTTCTCTAAGGGATGTTTTTCTTTTGTGTGAAATGAATATTTATTATAAACAATATTCTAAATTTCCTCTGTTTTGTTCCAGATTATCCAACACTGCTTTAAATGAATTAAATAAAAGAGAAATCTGTATTTATTTCTTTAAAACAGATGGAAGCTTTATAACAGCTGCAGAGTGTTTTGGAGTTTTGTTATTAAAACAGCTTAGATTGCACTTTGACAAAAGATCAGATTTTGAAAACCTGATTGAAATATTGATATTGAATATTGTGATTTCACCCATTTCCTCATAATTACTCCCTTTTCTTTTCTTTTCCATCATTGCAGTGTCAGAAATCATCAGTCTCCCTGACCTTTATGACCTTTGTCACTAATTCCTACATTAGTTGCAGCCATAAAGACTTGGAGGAACTATTTTTGTTTTACTTATTTTCACATCCTATTTGTAGACGTGTGGATTTAAGTTTGTTTTCTTACCTAGACTGGTTGGATCAAATATTAAATATTTAAGATATTTGCATTTTGTAACTGGCGCTGGATATGGAAGGATTTTATCTTCAATTAACTCCATAATATCATAAATGTACTCGTTGGCATTCTTGTACAGAAAAAAAACAACAACACTTTTTTACATAATTGAATCACTTAAAAAAATAACTAACTTAATAAATGAATAAAATACTGTCTGACTGAACTAAGATATGTCTGCACTGAAATTGAGGGCAAATCTTTACAAATGTAAAGGAATTATTTCTTAAGAATGTTTTACAGATTATAAATTACTACACTATCAAGCTGAAAATAAATTGGCACCAGTCATTACCTGTAACAGAAACAATAATTTATTAAAATCTGAGCTGCATAGTAACTTCTTTTTTATCTTTTTGAAAAAATTTACTTTTAGGAGTATTTTTACTATGACGTCACTAATTGTAACTGATAGTTATTTTTACTTGTACCTGAGTAATTTTATTTTTAAGTATTTTTGAGTAACATTTCTGGACTTTCTACCCAGTGAATGAAAATCAAACATGTTTTAATCAACAGTCACCAGACACACAGACACACCTAAAGTTTTTGTTAAAGTTTCATAAGTTTTATATTGAAAGAATCTGATTTGGAAACATTTCTTCTGCCTGATTGTGGGGATTTTATTTTATTACTTATGTGAATTATTGTCATTTTTGTCCTTAAAATAGCAAAATTATTACTTAACTTTACATTTTGGTCAAATTTTTAAATATTAAGTGATTAGTTACTTAATACTCAGTGAACTTTTTCACTCTTACTTGAGTAATTTCTTGGACTGATTCTATTTACTTTCACTCCAGTAAAAGTAAAATTGAGTACATTTTTTGTGCACTCTGCTACTAAAATATAACATTTACTTCATAATACTCTAAATGTAATGTGCATGTTGTGTATTTTTCTAAACCATCATGCGTTAAAACTAATAAAGGAATACTATTTAGTGACTTACCTGTACCGGGTCTTTCTGGCACCAGTTCCACGGGGCCTATCTGGCGCATCATGTAGGCGATCTTCACCTCATGACAGCTGCCTGCATCGGCTGCCCTGCTGCCTGCATCGGCTGCCCTGCAGCCAGCGTCCGGAAAAAGCGCAAAACACAACAGAATGACCCGAAACAAGCGCACGTTCTGTATGTCTGCGCGAAACATCGCAACATGTCAGTCGCACGGTGAAGTCTGGCCGGTTAATTTGAATTCCTGAGGGTCCCACCGGGTGAGTGTGAGTGAAAACTTCATCTGCAGTCGGTCTGCCTGGAGCCCACTGTCAGGGCCCTCCTCTCTCCCCTCTGCTCCCTCCCCCACTTCTAATTCAAACACCATGTCTTTATGCACAATAAAAATCTATATCATAAAGACTGTACTTAGAAACTCTCTCTCTCTCTACATATATATTCAAAATAAAACTTTATGTCAAAGCAATGAACCAAGAACTGGTAAAAATAAGAAAGGGAAGCAACCCCATCAGACCACAGAGTCACCATTCGGTTTTTAGACATTACACAAACTTTTAAACAAACTCACCTCATTTAATGCTTCATCGTCAACATTCGTTTGCAAACTATAATTAAGCTCAATTGTGATCCAGAATCACAGGAACGTTTTCCCGTGGAACAATGGCGCCCCCTCCTGAGCAAGTGACGTCTCACGCCCTTACGTCATGACTAAACTAAATGGCCAAATTACACTTTCAACAATTTCTTTGCCTGAAGATCCGTTTTATGAGGAAATCATTTCTAAATGTCGTCATTTCATTTATTTTTTAAATAAGCCAGGAGAGTTTTTCTTAGTTTGTCAATTTTTTTGATACACCTGAAAAAGCGATTAATAATAATAATAATAATAATAATAATAATAATAATAATAATAATAATAATAATAATAATAATAATAATAATTCAGGAAGAGGACCACGTTTTTAAATTGTATTGCCCTTTCTGGACCTGATGGTGTTTTTTTAGTAAGCTGCTGAAATAAACAGCTTATCATTTTTGTACATTTTGCCGTCCCGGACTTTTTTTTTTAACCCAGAAGGGTTTGTTTACAAGTACAAAGTGGATGAAGGAACTAGCTCAATATGTAAAAGTGGGAAATAAATTGACGGTGACGCGTGGTGGTCCAAGGCTGTAAAAGTACCATTCATTTTAACATATGAAGTTGTGCAAAATTACGTGTATTTTGATCTCCTTGAAAAAAAAATTACGAGCCAGCCAGGAGTCGAACCTAGAATCTTCTGATCCGTAGTCAGACGCGTTATCCATTGCGCCACTGGCCCTCTGATGAACCCCATGTCACTTTCCGTAATGGACTCCAAAACGGAACCTGTGTTGTGGGGACAGTCATGCCTTCTTAAGTTTCTCGGTAGAAATTAAAGGACTAGAGAGTCCTGCTGGACACATAGGAAACAAAGATTGGATTTACATTAGGAACAGTAATTTTTAGTAAAACGGAAAGTCCTAATCATTTTAGAATTTTCTTTTGTTCGTTTGATTATTGCCTTAAGAATGATGCATTAAATGTGCAATTTCATTAATCTAACTCTTAGTGTTAGTGTTGCTGATGAACGGAAAAGTTCAGTGAAACAAGTTCTGGAATTTCAACCACGTCATTAGAAGAAAACCTGGTAGGCTGATGGACGATGAGTACCAATTCTTAGTAAAAAAAAAAAGTCGGGAGCATGACCGATTGGTCCTCGTCTGAGATTTACGCTCTAAATTAAATTAAATAAAATTAAACTAAATTGCTTAAGAGAAAAAAAAAAGTCATGCCCCGTGTGAGGCTCGAACTCACGACCTTCAGATTATGAGACTGACGCGCTGCCTACTGCGCCAACGAGGCCTGAAAGTGCTATTCTCCGGAACTCAATTTGTGGAGTGGAAGATGGAGTGCGTCATACATGTTTTGTTGTTTGATGGTGTAAATCTTGGCTGTACTTTATAAACACCTTCATAAATATATCCTAAAATGTTAATGTTACTCGTTGATCCAATTTGGTGATTTCATTTGCCCTTTATTCTTTGTTTTACATACGATCCTACTAGAGTCGCCCCGACTGTCTAATATTCTGATGTTATTTTCAAATAACGTCTTTATTTTTCGTTTCCGTGTCATTTTCCACGGTAACTCGGAGCAGCCGTATAATTGCTGCGGCCCCTTTAACTCCAATCTCCCGCGTTCCAACTTAAGCGGAAACAGAATAGCGTTTTTTTCCCCTCTATTTAAGCGCGCCAACAAGGACCGTTCAAGTGGGTCTGTTTGGGTTCATCGGGTTCTGCAGAGCAGGCTGCTGGCTTTTTTCTGTCATTTCGCTGGTCTTCGATTAAAATGCCGGAGGAAACGTCCACAGCGTCGGGTTCTGGAAGGTAAATTAATCGTTTGGAGTTGTTCACTGCCGCCACAACAACACAAAAAATGGCTAGCGCGCTTTTAGCTTGTTCCGGCGGTAATGTTTACGGTGTGACACGTAGCTGTTGAGTGGAGCGTGTTACTAGTACAGAGGTTCTGTTAGGAAGACGGTATATTTTTTCTCGGTGAAGTGATATTTTGTTCTTAACCTCATCGTCGCTATCACTTAGCACTCTTCGGCTAACTGGCTAGCAGCCACGAGACGCTAACAACAATAAGGCGTCGCCATCGTTTTCTGTTGTACACGAACTCCACTAAGTCACCAATAAAGTTTATTGTCTCGGACAATGATTTGTTTCTGGACTCCCCTAGCGCCGAGGAGAAGCCGTGCTCGTCGACAGCTGCAGCAGAAACGTACGTCTGGATTCTGCAAACTTTTTTTCGTGCTTGTATGACCTAATCCCTGAATATGAAACCTCTTTATGTTGCACGTCTCCCCCCTCGCAGCTCCGGTGACGTTATGGAGGAGGCTAAAAAGCTGATCGGCACGGGCAAAAGGCATCTGGTGATGGGAGATGTAATTTCTGCCGTCAATGTCTTCCAGGAAGCCTGCAGCCTGCTGTGAGCCTGCATAACAAAACACGTTAAAGAAATATTCATGCTGAAGTTTGTATAATGTCACCTGGTATTGTTTCAATTTCTGTCATTTTCACCTCATTTCTTCTTCTGCAGGGCTGCAAAGTATGGGGACACAGCAGATGAATGTGGTGAAGCCTTCTTCCTCTGTGGGAAGTCTCTATTGGAGCTTGCAAGGTTTATTATTACATTTAATAAAATGTTTCTTTTTTCCTCTACCATTTAAAAAAAAAAACTACAAATATCTAAAGGGCTGCATTGAACTCTTTCTTCTTTTACTGCACATTTTATTTTTCTCAGCATTTAATCTTAACACTTCTGTTTGATTTATCACAATTTTAGAAAAACTTTTTTTTTTCCCCATTGTTAGTAAGTTCAATGCATTTAATAGGGATGTGTTGATATGAAATCTGAAATTTTTGCAATTTTTACTGATAATTTATAGATTTCCCAACAGTTTCAATTAATTATAATAAAATGTTTCACTAAATTTATGTCCAAACAGTAAAACTCATATCAACCAACTTAAGGTTCAATTACACTGATCTCTGCATGGCTTAGTGGATGAAGTCTGTATAAATAAAAACAAATTAAACTTATTTGCTGAAATAACTTTTATTTATAACTCTGCTACTCCATCTCTGAATGTCAGCAAGCTTTTGTGTTTTTTGCATAATGCCTTGATCAACTAGTAAACAAATTAAGTAAAGTTCGGGTTGCATGTTGGGCTTTTACTCTTATTTTTAGACTTTGAATTAATGGTTTGATGCCTTGAAACATCAGAAAACTGTTTAAAAAAAACAACAAAAACTTGCAAGTAAATTTTGGTGACATCTCCTGGTGTCTAATTCAATAGTTCTGCAGTTCATAGTTAGCATCTAACTTCTAAATGCTCTTTCTGGTGTGCAGTTCTGTAAACCAAAGTTTTGATCTAATTCTGTTTTGTGAACCAGGATGGAAAACGGTGTCCTTGGTAATGCCCTGGAGGGAGTCCCAGAAGAATCTGAGGAAGAGGAGCAGCCCACAAACCCAAACCTGGAGACTGCAGACAACCTTGATGGTCGGTTCACTTCACCGTCATTTTGATCCGTGCAACTTAGCTTCAGTCATTCCTCTAAGTTTGAACATTTCTAAAATATTTCTGTCATCTTTTTGCAAAGAGTAATCAGGTGTGTCTTACTTAAACTGATCTTTTCTGTACATTTCTGCTGAGATGATGTCAAGAAATCAAATGTTTGCCACTCTGGTGCAGAGAAAACAAGAGAAGAGCTGCGAGAGCTGGTCTATGATGCAATGGCAGAGAAAGAAAAGATGAAGGTAGAGCCTAAAGAGGAGGTCAAAAATGAAAACGCACAGTTAGAGGAGGCTGTAGACCCTGAGGTGGGAGAAACCTCAGGTTCTGCTGATGAGGAGGAGAAAAGTTCTGTCCAAGCAACTGAAGAGGTCCGAGATGCTTCAGCACAAGCTGTGAATGAAGATGAGGAAGAGGATGAAGGAATTGAAGAATCCGATGCAGAGGCTGAACAGACTGAAACTTCAGAGGGTAGTAGCTGTTTAGAGACAAAGCACTGGTGTTTTAAACCTTAACGCTTTACATCCCACATGGTGAACTGAGGGAGACACTGGAGTGTGGCAGGGGAAACTTTTTCTTTTTTTAATGGTTTTTATGCTTTTCTAAAAGTTTAAAATCTTATAAATCCTTTAACACTTTTTATTTTTTAATTTCAGATGACGACGACGACGATGAAGAAGATGAGGACGAAGAGAACAACACACAAGATAATGTGAGCTTCTGTTTAAAGAAACCTGCAATTTCTGGAATATTTTACATGAATAGCAATGATTTAATTTTCCTTTGGGATCAAAGTGTTCTTAAATTTTGAAACGCTTTCAGGAAGAGGAGGATGTTGGGAATTTGCAGTTGGCTTGGGAGATGCTTGAGGTGGCCAAAGTCATTTTTAAAAGGCAAGTGTTTCATTTGGAAAAGTGCAGATCTGATTTTTGTCTCTCAATGATTAGATTAATCCTGGTTTGGTCTTTATTTTGAGAACCTGTTCGTAAATTTCTCTCCTCTCTGCAGAAAGGAGAGCAAGGACGACCAGCTGATGGCAGCACAGGCTTATCTGAAACTGGGTGAAGTCAGTGCAGAAACAGGTAAACTGCAGAACTAAACGGCTCACAGTGGCGTCGTCCGTCTCCGCTGCAGGTCTAACATCTTTTATTTCCAGGTAACTATCCTCAGGCGCTGGAA